TCTAGTTGGCTTACATAACAGTTAAAGTTTGCAGCCTAAAAAACATGGAGCATTTTTCCCCCTTATATTCATTTTTATGTCAATTTGCACATTTCATGGTGATGCTCAGCCTCTCCCCTTAACTCCTAACAGTCATCGTCATGGTGACGCTCAGCCTCTCCCCTTAACTCCTAACAGTCATCATCATGTCAACCACAACACAGAGAAATACTGATAGAAATGTGTGTGTAGTTGTTGACACATTGCTGACAGAGGTACATTTGAATACAGATTTAAGAAATATCAGTTTTTGAGCATGTCATAAGCATGTTTTGTCCTGACTATACAACTATATTATAATAAAAATAATATAGTATTTATATTATTGAATTGATTATTATTATTATTAGAAGTTGTTTATTTGCATTAATTATATTTTTATCTTTTTGAGGCTAGTATTTGGCAGGAAATGCAGACGTATTCACCTGTAAACGCATACTGAACGACATACATGCACAACCATTTACCTCACTGCATAAAAAAGTGTTGATAATAATAATAAACAGGAATTATATTTGCAAAGTAGCCTACTTTGTTTCCAAACATTTTTTTTCCCACTCCTGTCGGTTGGGGGGCGGGGCCTCATCTCACAATGTCGCTTGGGGCCCCAAGTTGGCCAGGGGCGGCCCTGCACACACACGTTGTGATTCACTTCAATTAATGGTAACGGAGCTTTCCAACAGCAAGGCACAAGGCTACTTCACTCATTTAGCTAGCTAATGTAAGATACAAATGCTGTCGAGCCCTCACTGCTTGTAAAATAAAGAGCACAAACTGACTGCTTACCCGAGCTGCGAGCCCCGCTGTTCTCCGTCATTTTTCTCCCGGGTTGTTGTGATCACATGACTGAGAAAGCCGTGCTCTGATAGGCCAGAAGTCGGAGTTGCATTAGGGCTCGATTGCGTATCCTGTCTGTGTAGCCCGGATGATGCTGCATCGCAATTTTGGACATCGAATTTTATACATCGAATTTTTTGATGTCGAATTTTTTGACGTCGAATTTTTGGGATCTGAATTTGAACATTCGAATTGTTTTCACTTTAATTTTTACATTTTTATTTCACATAGGTAAATTCGGAGCAAAAACATTTAGGTACATTATTTTCAAAGTAATTATTTTCAATGCTATAAATTCGGTGTCTAATACAATTCAAATACTTCTGTCTCTTGTTTTCTTCCATATAAGTGCCTGTGTGTTCGTGTGCTGTATGCGAAGGGCGCTAGGACCGCTCAGTTGACAGGGCAGGCACAATGCTCGCACGTGTGTGTGTGTGAGATTTTCTCCGGTGGGCGGCGGGCGCGGCATCATTGTTTGTGTGGCATGTCAGCCTATTCAGTCGTGTGGGAAAATGAGCCCTGCCGGTGGGGGAGGTGATAATGAAAGAGGAGAAGAGAGAGAGGATGTGGTTCTGGGCCCTGGCCCTTCTAAAAAGAAAATACTTGTGTCTTACAACAAACAGTGGGAAGAAAAACACAGTTGGGTAAAGCCCGTGAGTGGAGATCTGTCTCGGGTCTTCTGCACCTTGTGTCGGAGGGAGTTTTCAATAGGTCACGGTGGAGAAAACGACCTGAAACAGCATGCTGGCACAGAAATGCACAAGCGAGCAACACAAAATAAAGGTGCATCAAATATAACTAAATTCTTCAGCAGTTCAACTGCAGAACAAGACAAAGTTGCTGCATGTGAGGTAACATCAGTGTATCACACAGTTAAGCATGGTTTGAGTTACAACAGCATGGACTGCAGTTATAAGCGGGCAAGTGCCATGTTTAGTGATTCGAACACTGCAAAGAAAATGCAATGTGGAAGAACAAAGGCTGAGATGATAACAGCCAATGTGCTTGGCCCCAAAACTGTTCGGGATATTCTAAAAGAGCTGTGTCCTCCTCCCACTAAAAAAGTAACTAAATCCGCCAGAAACCCGAAAATCTTTGCGCGCACGCGCTCGGGGGACACATGCATGTGTCCCGTTTCTCCATTTCTGGAAGTTGGCAACCCTAGTTGTACAGTGCGTAGATGCGGCGGACAGACGGGCAGGGGCGGCGGGTACTGTAGGCTAGGGAAGGCTAAGCCATCCCAAATATTTGTGTCACTGCATCCTGGTAAAATAAAAATATAATGTTTGTCTCTTTGACATTAGCGCTGCTATGCAGCCAACTGTGCCCTGTACTACGAAGCTAGTTCAACAGACCCTGGATATGTTTGATTAATCTTAACTAACCCTAACAAACGAAATCTCGCTAAGCGGTCCTACGACGCTGGTTATCAACTCGGTAAATCAAGCCAGGGTTTCTCTCTCCAGCTGAGAGCGCGTTCATGTGAAAGGGGCAGGGTTAGCTACATTTGACCAATCACAAACAGGGACAAGTGTACTGACAGCGCAGCATCATACTTCATTAATGAAAAGTAAACTAATATTAGACAAATATGAACTTTAAACATCCATGACTTAAACATATAATCCAGGATACAAGCCACATAGTTGCACCTGCAAGGTGAATATAGAACAACTGGTTAAAAAATAAATAAACTGTGTTTGAAAGTGAACAACAGTTTTATGATACTGCCCCATCTAAGACACGAGTGGATCTGACTTTAATTACATTTGAGTCAACTTAATGTGTTGCTTAAAATAATACGTCTGCATACAGTAGGCTATATGCAGTGGCGTTTTTATATGTACAAAAGTGGTGGGGCACAAAAAACTTAGATGTCTATATATAAGCTTCTGAGGTTCATGGCTGGTGAGGCTCTGACTCTTCAGGTTTACAAATATTATATTTTGACCTAAATCAAAATATAATATTATTTTCAAAAGCTTTTTTTGTCTGATGCTTCAATTCATTTTAAACAGACAGTTCAACAGAAGGATACCCAAAAAATGTACTTTTTTCATTTAAATATTGAATTGTTCTCTCTTAGTAAGATCCCATTTTCAATACAATTGTGGCCTTACCTTGACTTGAAGATGAAGTCCATTTGCCTATCCTTCTGGACAAAAATCTCTATTACTTTTTTGTAAAAGTCCTCCTTATGTTCTTGTAGTTTCAAAAGTCTATCATAAATCTGATCTAATCAATAGATTTATGATTCGAAAATTATAAAAGTAGGGTAGACATGTGGATATTATCCGGCTGAACAAAACGTGCATTTATCTAACAGGTTTGTTTCCCACAGATCTTATTTGGAGCTATTTTCTAAAATCCTATGGAGAAATCTCATTGCTTTTTTGTGGAGGGAAGCCATGCGCAGCTTATTTCCTGGTTTTAGGACGCCTCACTGCAGCTCTCTCTCCTCCTCTTCACACACCACACTTTTCGCGGCACACGTACTTACAGCCAATCAGCTCTGAATTATGTGAGATGACGTATGGTGGGGATGGCAGCTCTATGCCCCTATGGTGATTATTTTTTTGCCACACACATTAAATAGGACAATACTCTGAGCATGCGCAGTGTAGTTTTTACAGTCACCATTGACTTAAACAGGGAGAGGGAGGGGCAGGATCGGGTTTTGTCCCACATGGCTCAAAACAGCTCAATAGGCACACACTGTAGACACTAATTAGACGAACACAGACTAACACAGCAATGTACAGACGAATCAGATGATTAAACATGATCTTAAAATATATTTTATATATTTTTTAATTTATTTTTTGCATTTTTTTGTAATCATTACTTTTAATACTTTCTGCTGACACTAGGTGGGGCTGTGCCCCACCTGCCCCTAATGACCAGTCGCCACTGGCTATATGACAATGTAGCCTAAGTGTTGCACGGCCAGATACGGCTCGAGAAGCTGACTCAGATAAGGAAATATTGTGATATTATGTGATCGATGATGTGATATCAGTGTGATATGAATGATAAGTGCGACACGTCGGCGTCTTCTCTGCATACAGCAGTTTAAACTGTATTTCCTTTATCCTGTAATATGACTTGATAGATTTAAACTCCGCATATCTGACCATTAGAATCTGTATTTTTGAAATTGTCGTTTTTAACACCGTAGTTTTACAAATTATAGAATAATTAATTACCAGTGTTTTCCAATTTTACTCGGCAGTTCGTTTCGTTAGCTAACGTTAGCTAAAGCTAGCGCTACTAGTTAGCTACGCAATGGTTTGTTGCTTTGCTCCGGGTTGCAGCCACAGGTCTTTCCATGAAACGTGCTCGTTCTATCGTTTCCCGGCCAATGTTTTCCAAAGGAGAGTCTGGATTCCTGCCATGAGGTAAGCTGACGTTACATTTTTGTCCATGTCACGGTGAAATATAAATGATGGGTAGTGACTGTATTGCCGTTTTAGAGATGGCGCTGCTGAAAAGACCGCAACATAAGTAAAGATAATGAATACATCCTATTAAAACCTGTGTGGCTTATATGATAAGTCTAATTGGTACAAGCAGCATAACGTTTCACCATGTAACTAAAGATTGTAGTCTGGGAAATCAGTTTGACATATTGAACTAATAACAAATCACCTCTGGCTGGCAGAGAACTCTCTGCTCCATAGCTTCTCTTGGACGTAAAATCACATGTACATTTTACATTTATATTCAATTTAATATTCCATCCCTCACATACTTTTGTATATATAATAACTTATATTTTGTTTTTCTTGTTATGCTGCTGCAACACAAACATTTCCCAAATTGGGATCAATACAGTAATATCTTATCTTAATTAAAACTGCGGTCACAGACGTGCACGCAGTTGTGGGCGGGCCTTCGCGTCCGAGCGCCTGTAGGGGAGGCTCGTCCCGGCGTCAAGCAGATGCGCGCGTGTCCTCCGAAATGAGCCGTTCGTCATTTCTCAAACGTTCGCGTCCCGGACTCCCAGGTCTTCCGGCAGCGACCGGGAAACGTATGTGGGCTCGCCGCCTCGAAGGAAAACACATTTCTGTAAAGGCTCGTCGACGATCGATTATCGCGGAGGCTGTCTGGAGGAGCCTTAACCGTGGCATACAGCTGTTATGTGGTCAAGGTAAGTAAAGTAATGATTGAAGCTGTGTATTGGTTAATATTAGCGTATGACTTCAAATGAAAACACAACAGCATTTCACAAAACGCCACAGCATTTCAGAAAACACGACAGCATTTCACAAAACGCCACAGCATTTCACAAAACGCCACAGTATTTCACAAAACACAACAGCATTTCAGAAAACGCCGCAGCATTTCAGAAAACACCACAGCATTTCACATTGGACGGAAAGGGTATTCCTTTAGGGAGAACACTTCTTGTTTATGATTGGACAGAGCCAGCCAGAGAAGCACTGCTGTGACTGGTTGTTTTTGCTGCCAGTGAAGAAATGACGCTTCGTGATTGGTCAACGTCCGACAATCCCAACCGTGGACGGAGCAGCTACAGGTTAGTTTAGCCTGATGGATCCGATTCCATTCAGAAAACACGCATTTTAAAAGCTTGTCAAAGCATTAATTCATGGTTTTTACTAACCGTTATCAGTATGTAGTTACTTCGGCATCACTTTGAAACGTGTATTACAATTAAATCACGGTCAAATATGTTCATTTTGTTGTAGTTGGTATCTCCCATAGGATTTACATGGAGATACTTCCCGCCCACTCTCCAGCGCGTCTTGTTTGAATGACAGGAGCAAACACAGCTGACAGCCGCGGTGAAACTCGAGCGATTAGAGCGATGCGAATATTGGGTAGTCTACCATAGTATTTACATGGAGATAAGCCCCTTAAAAACCATAAATTAATAAAGCATTAATTCTGTGTTTACTCCTGTCATTCAAAAAAGATGCTGGAGAGGGGGCGGGGCGTATCTCCATGTAAATCCTATCGGAATCGGATCGATCAGGCTAAACTAACCTGTAGCTGCTCCGTCCACACTCACAACAACATCATACAGACATAAATAAAGCAGCGACTGTATTCGCCATGACATAGACAGTCTGTGTTTTGCATATCTTTAACTTTTGTCCAGTTTCTGAACAGATATGAGGACCTGTGAGCTCTGAGTGTGTGCTAACAGCTAACGGCTGATGTGTTGGGCCAATCACGAAGTCATTTCTTGATTGGCAGCAAAAACAACCAATCACAGCAGTGCTTCTCTGGCTGGCTCTGTCCAATCACAAACAATAAGTGTTCTCCCTAAGGAATACCCTTTCCGTCCAATGTGAAATGCTGTGGTGTTTTCTGAAATGCTGCGGTGTTTTGTGAAATGCTGCTGTGTTTTGTGAAATGCTGCGGTGTTTTGTGAAATGCTGCGGCGTTTTGTGAAATGCTGTGGCGTTTTGTAAAATGCTGTTGTGTTTTCTGAAATGCTGTGGCGTTTTGTGAAATGCTGTTGTGTTTTCTGAAATGCTCTTGTGTTTTCTGAAATGTTGTGGCGTTTTGTGAAATGCTGTTGTGTTTTGTGAAATTCTGTGGTGTCTTGCACTTCAGGGCCACCGTACAATATAGATGTTTTTATTTTAAAGTAAATTCAGATGGAACATAGTAAAAACATGTAAATTCTAATGTCCGCCTAAAGAAAAAACATTACTTATAGTGAAAACCACCCTTGAATGATGGGTTAGTAGACTAAAACCTTTAGGAATCCAAACTATAACATATAATAAGTACCCTGTATCAAGATTGATGCAAAACAAGTGAAATTTGACCTTTTTAAGAGAGGTTTAGAAAAATAAAGTCCAGGGGGACTCACCTCTGGGTAATTTGGGAACCATCAGTTCCATTTGAACGTTTTCACTGTAAAAATCATTTTATTACTTTGAATTATCACTATAGGTATTCATTCCATCCAAATACAACTGTTGTGAAAAAAATAAAAAAATAAAACATACTCTGTTATCCTCTTAGGCCCCACGGACCCGAAATCGCGTCATTTGCAGGAAACAACGTCTAAGGAACCTTAATATTTTATAAACTATGAATATTGTATATCCATAGAACGGGAAAAAACTCATTTAACTGATCTTTTTAATTAATTTTTTCAAAAAAAAACACACAATGCTAACAGTGAGCCTCTGAATTAGCCCCGAGCGAAAAATGCTAACCTATTACTGCACCGAAAATCACTCCTAGCTCCCTTATTACTTATCCTAGCTCCACATCCAACACATTGTTTATGACCGTAAAGACACAGAATCTGACGGTGCCCACCTCAACACTGAAAGATACAAACTCGCGAGGTTATCAACAAAAACGTACATCAAAACAAGTGGCGCTAGGTACTAACATGCGCTAGGCTAACATAGCTTACCTTCCTCTTTGTCTGGTCTAAACTGGTCTTCAATGGCATTGCTATCCCCGCGTGAGGTAGCATGGACATGCTTCATTAGCTTAACTAGCATTAGCAATGCACCCACCCACCGCATGTTCCAATGAAAAGCATACAACGTCAACACATTTCAGTATAACACACCAATTGCTATATTACTCACGTTTGACAAAGTGGAGCAGGGTTTCTATGTACCGAGAAGTGGGTAGTTTAATGAGTCTGTTGACGACAAAACCTCCGCGCGCACACACACAGCCAAGGCAAACTACCTGAATTAAGTCTCTCCCTAAACCGGTAATACCGGAAATGTGACATCCGGTTTGTCCTTCACAATAAAGTTTTTCAAAAATAAAGGTACATTTAATATTGACGTATCAAATTGATTCAAATGTCTTACACAACACATGTATCGTGACAATAAATGAACTGTTATATAGCCGATCAACACCGTGTATGTTACTTATTACAGGATAATCACATGACACTAAATCAGACCGGCTGTTCTCCTCTGTTTACATCCTGCTGGTTTAAAGTATGTGTTCTATTGTATTGCATAGAAAGATGTGTTACTGTTCTGCTTGTAGTGGAAAGACTGTTTGTAGTCGTAGATAGAAAAACAAAGATGGAAAACATTTCACCATACATTGTTTGGACTTTTATATGTATTGGGTGTTTATGGTTCGTGTGGGAAATTAATAAGCAGAGCTGTTGCTGGTAAATTTGTGTGCCATCATATAGCAATGTGTATACAGCGTTTCGTGAATATCTGGAAAAATATGCGAGTAGTTTGGAGTCATTTGAGACATGTAAATCGTCAAAAATGGTACATTCTCTGTTAGCTTACGTTCGCCCCGATTGAGCTAGCAACTATTTTATTCGCAATTTAACATGATATTGGATATGGGCTTAACTTGTCCTGGACTGGAATTTTTCCGATCTTTTCCCGAGGAGGTGTTTGCGAAAATGCGCTTAAAATGCATGAATAACACTGATTTTTCAAAATGGCCGACTTTCTGGGGGACGGGGCTAATGGAAGCTATTTTGAAATATGTCCGCAATTCCATCAGTAATGTCGGTGGCAAGATTCGCGTAGTTTGGAGAAACTATATGTGACTATCGCACAATAGGGGGCGCTACTGAGCTGGTGTACAAAAATGTACGTTTTTTTTGTACAGTCTGGAAAAAGACGTGGGTTGTGACGTGTGTTCCAAGTTTTGCGTCCAAAAGTCATTTTAGCGATTTTGTGGCATTTAAATTGTCAAAATTGGTACATGTTCTGTTAGCTTACGAGCTCCCCGTTTGAGCAGTCGATTATTCATTTGCAATTTAGCATCACATTGGATATGGGCTGATTTTGTCCTGGTTTGGAATTTTCCTAGGAGAAGTATGCGAAAATGCGCTTAAAATGGACATATTTCAAAATGGCCGACTTAATAAGGGGCGGGGATAATGGAAGCCATTTTGAAATATGTCCGCATTTCCATGAGAAATCTCTGTGCCAAGTTTCGGGTAGTTCGAAGAAACTATATTTGACTACCGCACAATAGGGGACGCTACTGAGCCATATTTGCTAAAACGTACGATTTTTTTCTACAGTCTGGAAAAGGTTGTGGGCTGTGACATGCGTTCCGAATTTAAAGGCTGTAACTCATTTTTTCCCCTACTTATGGCTCAGTACATTTTTTAACCCTTCGATTTCGAGAAAAAAACTGAATAGGACACGCCCAAATTTTTCATTGGTTGCGAACCTTTAAATCTCAGTTTATACTCACCCTGCCAGTATGTCTATGACAACATATATTTTTTTAGTCCATCGGTTCTTGAGATATAAATTAGTTGTGTTTTTGGCGCCCCTTATTGTCCGAAATGAACATTGTTTGTTGTGCCTATTCCCCAAGACACACTGAACCTATCCACCGAAATCTGTGATATTTGGATACATTTTGGATGAATTTATGTGTAGGCCACACCCTTTTGCTAATACGTTTTGATTGATGTCGGCCACATTTTTCCACACCTCGTGCTCATTTTGTACGGTAATGTGTCTGACCCTCCACTGATGCTGTGCACTAAGTTTGGTGTGGAAAATCAAGAAATTTGAATTTCAGTTAATATTTCACTGTTTTTCACATTATGCTAATTTAAAAAAATCAAAGTGGCTTCGGGATTTGATGGGGATTTTGAGATAATATGTAGAGCTGCTGCACCCGGATAAGTGTGCAAAATTTCAGGTCCGTCAGAGTTACGCTGGGACTTTGTAAATTTGTTCGAAAAACTGAATGTTCACAGGTGGCGCTAGAGAGCAAGTTTGAAATGTTTCACCCATCGAATCCAGAATGTCAACATTTTCACCCGTCCTGGCGGCGTTGCCAAATGTCGCTACATGAATAGTGTCGCAAGCCCCTCAAAAACAGGTCGAAAGTGCAGAACCGGTAAAATAAGAATAATACTGCTGACGATTTCAATAGGTCTTTGCACTTCGTGCTCAGGTCCTAATTAATTAAGAAATATAACTATTATAATTAGTGTAGCAGCTGACACCAGTAGTAGTAAGGATGCCCCTTTCGTCAAAAAAGTGACAGGTGGTGTGACAGGTCACACCTCTCCCTACTTATGCAAATGAGCTAAGTCCCGCCTCCCATTGTTCGAGATCCTTTGATGTGAGTGGGTACAATCATGTTAATGAGCTAAGTCCCGCCTCTCTTTGTTCAAGATCCTTTGATGGGTGT